GAGTGATTCACATTTAATTTCTCCTAATACTATTACACATTGAGGCCATGAGAATAAATGAAATGATCACCAACTAAACATGTTCCTTGATTGTTCAAGAAATTCTCCTTTTCAGCACCTTTGGAAATGCATAGGGAACAGTGTAGAGAATATATCTATGGTTACATTCCAATGTCAGGGTGTTAAAGGGGTTAATGTCTCTGCGCATTTGTCACATTAAAGGTATAACTTACAATATAACTTACAGCTTTATTAACACTCTGATCTGAAATTAAGGCTGTTATTGTCAGCATATATACAACATATATGTACTATTATGGAGGAGGAAAAAGTAAAATCTTACAAGTTAGGGTTAAAAGGATGAGTTCTTGGTGCACGTTGAACATCAATGATTTTGGCAGTAACTTTAAGACCAGGAAGAAACACTCCCTTCTTGTCATCTTGAAAAATAGAAGTCATGCTACCGTCAAAGACATCATCCTCTTCATTGCCTACACCAATACACACTGAGCCAGAGTCTAAGTTACAGTAGATGAGAAAAAAGGAAATAGTTACTCCACAATTTGAATTCTTAAAAATGGAACTCAGATTAATTGGTAGTACTTGTGATATACAGTCCAGCTACTGATTCAGCAGTTATTATACACTAGAGCTAATGATCCATTTAGTTTAAGGGATTGTGTCTCCAATTCAATCCTTTTTGTATTCTTCACAGTCATGTTTCATCATTCCAATAAAGTGGTTTCAGACCAACAGCTGATGTTAGAGTAAATTTACGAGACAGTACTTTGAGTTCAAAAGAAGCTTGAGACTATTTAAAAAAAAAAATCTTTTCCCAGGTTTGTGAATGACTGTCGGATAAAATGCTGAAGGTGCAGTGACCGTCAGAGAACAAGGAGGAGTAGAAATATCCCTAATCACTTTGTAGTAATGAACACAGTACTGGAGCAGGACAGGCTCTTCTATTTAATCTGTAATTATTGTACCTGCAAAATTATTTTGGTTGGGTACTGCTAAAGTGTCATCATCAGACACCTTAACTGAGATGTCTTCTTCAGCAGCCACATTACTATCTGCATGTGAGAAAGATGCCTTGTTGTTTTGATTTGTCATACTGGCCATTCTGGCTAAGAGTGTGTATCATTCAGTACACTATCCAGGATTTTCACAGGGTGGAAGTAAGGGTTCAGTTGGAGTAACATCAATGGAATTCTGACTTCAGGATCTGTAGGTGAGAAATAAAGCAATCACATTAATGATAATTTTTCAATTACCCCATAATCTAAAGAAATATATCTTAAAAAATATGAACTTTATTTTTCAAGGCAGTTAGTGTTACTCTGGCATAGACCTGCATAGAGGAACATGCCTTCAGGCTCTGGAAAATTGTAACACTTAAAGTATGCCAAGTCTCAAAAAAATGAAAACAGTGCTGCATAATCAATTATTGTTTATACAAACAGACACCCTCTCAGTTGATGGATCCTGTTATTTAAGGTTGCTGTCTTGAGAATGAAAGATTCTTAGAGTAGTCTGCATGGTCTATTTTTCCTGAATGAATTGGCAACAATAATGTGCACTAATGGTTTGTGCCTGGTCAATCGAAAGGGTCCAGATACAAGCCTCAGCCAGCCATGGGTGGACACTTTTGTTTACTCACACAACACCTTGCTCTACAATACCTCAAACACTTTGGTTGGCGCAGGTACTGTGAGAGTTACTGGGATGGCCTGAGACAAGAACCCAGCCAAGCACCCATTCTCAAAGTCAAGCACATTTGTGCTAATGTCCAGCATCTCCCTTTCAAATTATATATTAGGATCAAATCATTTAATGTGATGATGATCTTTAATTAAGAATGAAAGAAAAGAAAATCTGCATGTCTATTATTTTAAAATAAAAAAATTTTGTTTACAAGGGAACTGACACGTTAAATATTTCCACGTTACTTCTTCCCAATACAAATTGAACAATATTGGGATTGTACTCAGTAATTCAGTTTAGAAACCTTGTAACGTTATCATCTCAAATAGCAATCATGAGAAATTATGGATCCCCATAATATTCTAAAACCAAGTCTTAGTCCAAAAGGCAATCTATTTCCACTATAACTTATCCAGGAGCTGTATGTAAAATGAAGTATGGGACTGTGCAGAAATCTCGCCCAAATTATGTTTATCTATTGAAAAGCATTTAAAGTCATTCCAAAGAGAGAGTGAGTACTGATGCAATCTAATTCCGCCTAAATTTCGCAATCGGCTGTGAATATATTAAATATGTAATTAATTATGCAAAACACCACGTAGCCGGAGAGTTTTATGTTATTAACCGTAGGAGTTAATGCTGGCAATTTATAGATAACGCGAAAACGGAACCTTCGGTCGATTGACTCCAGGGCGACCTTAGCTTCTTTGTCCCTTCTGATTTCCGGAAGAAAAATTTAAATTGTGCGTTCGCTACTTGAACATATCAACTCCTCATTACGCCCCCTCTCAACTGAAGAACTAATAACTTTATGGTTGTGTATAAGGCGAGCTTTTTCTTTTCCTTTACAACTATAATGGTTCGAGTCATACAGACTTCCTGCGACTGCCAAAAGGTCGAGATCTAACGTTTTCTACTTTTGCTTTCCTTAGTTTTACGCTTTTCCTGAGTTTTCCGGCTGTTTATTTTGTCTATATCGATACCTGCAGGATGTAGCGCTAATGATGATTCATTAAACCAACTCACCTATTTCACTGCATCATCCCCCTTAAAATAACGTACAATCGCGAGAGAAAAATCGGCTGTTTTTAAATCAGGTAGACCTGCGTTGAAACAATAGTAACACAATAAATATATCCGGCGATGACCAAGAAACATATTGGTATTTATAAATCTGTTCACTGCAGTCTTGTTTGGACAGCGGATAACATCGTGGTGTAAATCACCATCGATTCTATCTCATCCCGGGTCATCCCGGACTCAGAGCACTTCACACCGGGTTGGAAGTCACGCAACATCCACTCGCCACCAAATAGCTGCCTTTCTTTCCCCTTGTGAGAAACTACCACTGTTTGAAAAGTCACTCTGGTACATGAGGCTGGGAGGCATATAGTTCCAGTAACCTGTGGAGTTGTCAAAACTGCCTCTCTTTGGCGGTCCAGAGAAAAGCACTCGAGTTCCAAACTCGCGTAATCTCCCGGTCACGCAATGCGTTCCCACCGACATGACAACTGCAAGAGACCACAACTAGCGGACTTTCAGGCTGGGCCACAGGGCCACGACATTGTATGATTGAAGTAATACATGGCAATTATGATTGAAACACTGAGCAGTGATTATTTCAACGCATTTTGGCCTTGATATGTCAATAAAGTTAAATGAAATGTCAATGGACTGATGCGTGGTGTTTTTTCACCTGCGCGCTGTTTAAAACTTTCATTCCCTGAGTCATCAAGACATGTTTTGTCAGAGGCTAGGTATGACTCAGTGAAAGGAAACTTAATATAGTGCAGAGAGGTAGAAAATACCTCGCTCCAGTCCATTTACTGTTTACTGAACTTTACTGAGCAATTCGGCCCGAGATGCAGTTATTTAAGGGTGTATTATTTAAATGAATCTTTTTAGCTTTCGGTAGAGATTGAGAGCGTTTCCTACAGATGGCTAACGATGAGTCAAATGAGCTACAGTTGTGGACAGGGGTTTACCAAGAAAATGGTTTAAAAAATTGGTTTTCATATACGGAAAACGGTTAATTGTCAGACTGAGTAAACTTCAGGGCTAATGATCGAGCTGACAAAGAAAGAGTGAAAAGACATGACTTTTCCAACAGAAACTAAGGAAAGATAATGGGCATTATAACTTTACTTCTCCCCACCCCCTCCTCCGTTCAGGATGGGGGGGGGGGGTAGCAAAGCTATAATGCCCCTTTTCTATTTTAATCTATTGAGAGTGACCGTAGGGAAAGGGGTGAGAATGGTTTGCCTTTAAGTTTTCATAATACTTATGTACAGCAGCCTGCTGTACTTACGACGCAGGAGACTTGTTCAGAGGGCAATCAATACGGCCTTCGGAAAATTAATGACTCTGACATTGGAAAGAGATAAAGTTTTCTTATTGTAGTACTGAGGATTATTTGGAAATGGGTCGATAATCGTCTTGCATTTATATTTTTTGACAAATATCAACTCAAGACAGATATACAATATACTCCAATTATCACAAAAGGACTCTGCAGAGTCATTTGACTCAAGTAGATTCTACGGTTACCGGAGACACGGAAAAGGATTAAATTGAATTTTTCGTGAGCCCATAATTTTATAACAGCAATATCCGTATTCCATCCAGTCTACTGAATATGAATGTTGGAAAAAATAGATGATTTTCATAATTACTTTATAGTACATAACTCACATTCGAACAGGTAGCTAACAACAAGTTTATGTGAATGAAACAATAAACGGAATCATGAACAGAACCCTTTTCTCTGTCATCATAGTTTCCACAATTAGTTTATTAAATAGTTACGCTTAAAAATGCTACAAGAAAAAGTCCTTCTCGAACTCTAAGATGAAAGCCATGGAAATAAATAATGATCAGTAAAATATAAATTGTCAGCTTAATATAAATAAGTCGTCAACTTAACGAAAGAAGGTTAATCGGTTCCTCTAGGGAACTGCAACGGTGATGTCTTCGATGTTCACGAGGAAGTCAATTACAGAGCAAAGGGTTTAGTGAGCGATGATCTGCTGCACAGGTGTTCTTGAAAATTCATATGCTTTCTGTGTCTATTAACGAAGATGTAATCACTGACTCAAATCACGAAAAAGTTAATTTCTTTTCTGGGATGTGAATCGTAGACATTATTTTCCTCTAGCCCAGCAGTAGATACAACTAAAGCAAATCTCTATTAGATAACTTCAGAGTTTGTAAAACACACGCAAATATAATTCCTTTTTATCAGCAATATCGCCGGCGTAACCTTTAAGACTTCCTGAGGACGGTTCCTTAATAGCGATATCGCCGAGATGTCACCCTCCGGATAATAATGAGGGTTATAACACGACGGAAGACGAAGCGTACAATTCCAATGAGAAGGACTAAGATCCGAGCCAACTGAGAGACAACAGCGAACATACAAAGGAATCCCAACAAAAGGGGCACGATTGCCAACAGGCAGATTTCGACCTGTTGCAACATGATCACGTGCCTTTTCACGGGTCCTTGGGGGTTCACACCAGCCGATAGAAAATTAGCTTGAATTAAATTTATGGTCGCTATGACAACCAAGAAAGCAAGAGAGATAGCCTCTATGACGTTTGCTTTTCTGTCACGAAACGGCTTCACTGTCAGGTGCCAGGCGAAGACGAACAGACACGTGATGTCCATGAAAAACAGACGGATGAGAGGATCGGGGAAGAAGACTTGGTAAGAAAGGAGCAGAAATCTGCGGCCAATTAGAACGCTCTCCCAATGCAAAGAGCCTCCCTTACGGCGACTTGGTGGGCGAAATGAATCGTGGAGGACTTTCAATACCTCAACACGCGTCTCGCTTAAGCTCACTTCCTGGCACTGTCGTTGGTTTCTTGGGTAAAATAGTTTTTGAATGATCCATAAAGAAATGAAGCCAAGCGGGAAAAAACACGCCCCAATGAAGTGTCCCACAGAAATTAGACCTCTTTGTAGCTTCATCGCGCCCCAGTAGATAACTGCAATGAATGGGAGAAGAAATATAACGACGTAGAACAAAAAAAAGCAATGCCACCACTGCCAGCACTTGATGTTACCGTCATAATACAATCTACTCTCACCCAAAACAGGAACACATGTTAGGAGCTTCAAGGCTGTGTTGGCCAATGTTGCACAACCAAGCAATAATGTCTCCAAGGTTGCAGCAACGTAAGGCGCCAAGGGTGGGTCTGGTCGGCCCCGCAATTTGTTCCAAGTAAAGTGTAAAATCAGTATTGCCTGTACACTGATTAACGTGGCAAATACGCCTGAGGAGAGAATCAACTCTTTCGTAACTACATTCAGTCCTGGAAAAGGACAGCCAAAGCCTTCACTGGAAACTGTTGGAATAAAATTAAAGATGCCGGAGAAAAAAGTAACAAGAGGAGCAGTCTCTTTGACAATATCTGCAGTGTTTTTGATCGCATCAGAGATTGGTTCAACATTCAGGTAGCTGGAAATCTGATAGAAATGAAATATGATCTTTTTGTAGCCTTTGTTGTAATGATCGGGCTCCTCAAGAGATGTATATTCCGTTCGATTTCTAGACGAGTTCGCAAACCAGAGGATGTTTTTGACGAGAAATCGTATTATAGGTGGTTTGTGAATAAACAGCAATGCCATCACCACACCATAAATTATAGTCAGAGGCCAAATCCAGTGATCTTTACATTTGTCAATCCGCTTGCATTTCTTGGAAAACAAAGTTTCTGTATACCCAATCTTGCATCTTCCACACATCACGCCATCTCGGTTGCCACGGCAACTATTATAAACGGATAAGTCAGTTTTGTCTTCTTTGCCACCTGGTCTGCAATACTGTGCTGGACAATGAACAAACTTCAGCGAGTTCGGGCCATCTAATTCGGGATACCCCCAAAAGTTCGGTTTGGCTTCAATGTTGCGAGAGCAGTTCGCGCCTTAAGGACATGGTGAACAAAATAAGTCAGAGCTCGCCAACATTTCTTTCTTAGGAAGGCCCTGTATTTCCCCTCGCTGGAGACTATAAAAACCTGCAAGGCACTGATGGCATGATATCGTCATTACCGTTATTTTTAACCAACACTCTGGGTTCTCAGACGAACTGGGTACGAACATGAAATGCGAAAAGTTGTCCACTCTCAAAACACTTCCTATTGCGCACTGTATTTTGCTGAAATTATCAAACTCTACCAGACCCGCCCTTACCACTGACAATAACCGATAAGAATCTTTGTCCAACTCTGCAACTATCAATGTCTTCCTAAGTTGAAGTGAGCCAAGGCTTTCAGAATACACGGATGCATGGTGTGTAAACGTTTCCCCGTTGAATATTGTTTCAGCTGAAGTTTGCTTCAAAATGGAATTTTCAATTTTGAGCATCGCGTGCTGATCTTCAACGCGAACGTGCCCTCCACTTTTTATCGCGTAGTTATTTTCAAAGTAACAGCCGCGAATGGTCACGTTACCTGAATAAAGAAGGACACCACCCGTTGACCGTCCGATATTATCCTTAAATGTTGTATTTAAAATCGTAATTGTGTTGATGTACGAGAAACGTAGATATGAGTTATTACAGCCCTTGCCTTGTATCAGCATATCCTTGGGCATAAATATTGACAATGGACTTGAGAGGTATCCGTTCGTGAAGACACTCCTTATCTTACGAAAAACGCTGTTTACGATCTCTACGTTGTTAGGATTATTTGAGTAAATCCTAAATACGACTGATGTCGAGCCAACAGCATTCGTGACCTCGAAATCGTGCAGCCGTATTGACGATCCTAGTGCAGTTTTCTCTATTTGGACGTCTAACACAGAATTTGTGCCGCTTTTTTCCATTTGCTCTCCGTTTATTTTTACATCATTTAAAACAAGATGCAAAAAGGGAAGTTTCGAGACGACTTTTATATGATTTTTCTCGTTTAACCGGAATATACACCGTTCAAGATGAATCTTCATTTCAGTCGAGCCGAAGTCATCGTTCATTGCTTCGTCACCAGACAAAATAATTACTGCATTTTTTGAGGTCGAGCCGGTAGTGTTCACCTTAGTGAAATTAACATTGCAAGTACATTTCAGGTAAAAGCAACTTGCATGATTTTTCCACTCTGTCTCAAACACGTTAACTTGACCTGACACTGCAACTATGAAAACACTGGCCCAAGGCGAAACGAGACTGTGGCTGTGACCGCGAAGATCTGCATCCTGGTCGTCATTGGCGGTGTTACCACTTATATTAGAACGAGAAATTCCCAGCGAAACCTCCTTGGAATTTATATAAATACATTGAGTATCTATGTTGTCGGTGCAGACCAGACCATCAAACAAAGCCTTGTGGAACCTTGCTTTTGAAATGTACAAACCGTTTGAGGGAGCTGAATTCTTTACTAGCGTAATTCGGTGATAGAGTTCGTTTGTCCGTGATGAATTGATAGTATTTTCGAATAGAGGACCTGTATTTTTTGAAAATATCGTATCACTGCAAAATATATCTATTCCAACAGGAAAAGGCAAATATCTCCCTCGGTTATCCATTCGGGGTGGGGGATTTTCGTGGTGTTTGGCAAAGCCTAAGGATTCATACTTAGCAAGTGTATCCAACTGCAGTTGTCGCAAATGAATTCCTCCCAAGTTGTTGAAAAAAGATGAATTTTTGACGACCAGTGTCACATTAGCTCCTGGCGAAAGCCATAAATTTAACGGATGAATGCTTCGAGAAAAGGTGCAATTGTCAAATTCTACAGAGGTGTCGATAAAAGTCATGGAGGTATTGAAGAAGACGATGCCGGTGAACTTCACTTTAAACTTCTGTCTGTTCAACGAAATGGCTGCAAACCAAAGAGAATCGCCGCAGTTCACAAGAGCACGAGGACGATAGGCAACAAATTCCCAAATTCCATTAACTGTTCTGTAATCCTCCCCTCTTTTTATATTCTTTTTACGATTGCGTATCCTTCCGCAAGTATGGCTGTTAAATGTTCCGTCCAAGAATATATGAGCATTTCGGTCAGCGCTCTCGATTCCGCGCGCAAGCGTCCTACATGGTAAAATTTTCGGACCGCATTTCGCAGAATCAATGCCTTCAGAGCTTGAAACATAAACGTTTTTCCTTCTAACCTTGATCGCCTCTGCTGAAATAAATTTAAAAGGATTCTTTAGTCACTAGCTCAATTCATCTCATAAGTATAAGCAGGGCCTAACTATAGGGTTGCTCGGACGAAACACCAAAAATAAACTAATATCGAGATCCTTCGGAAGGCGCTCTAACACTCTGCTACAAATACTTCATCGGATCAGGAAACGTTTGGCTCACGGTAACAAGACTGATTAACAAAGGTAACAAAAGCTACGAAGACGCGAAAACTAAGCTAAGCAAAAACAAAAGACAAATACGCAGTAACATGAGGGTCTCAATGGGGTTAACCGTTAGCCGTAAAACGATCAAAAAATTTAGCCGTAAGGCGTAAAAATTGACAAATTTTAAGCATTAGTCGTAAAAAGAGTTAACCGTAAAAAATATGTCTGGTGGAAGCAATGGAAAGGTATTACCGTTAGCCGTTAATTGGCCAAAATTTTAACCGTTAGCCGTAAAAGTCATTACCCCATTAAGACTCTCCAACATGTACTCCTGGCGTCTACAAAAGTTGTTATTGTTGTTGTCGCGTGACGTATGCCGCTTGGTGTCACTCCTTTTCGATAGCTCCAAACGAAACGAGTAATCTTGTTCGCAATTAAAGATCATTGTGTTCGTTTTTGTAAGGCTACACTTAATTTTTCAACGTGGATGTCTTTTTTTGCAACTCTACATGTAGCAACGAACACGAAAAAAAATTATGCCACAATTCTGTATTAAGCTATGAGAATTCCGTTCTGCTTTCAGCAGTTCAGTTGTGTCCGATATTAGTTCATAACTGAAAAAAAGCTTTAAATCAGCCAGTCTCTCGTAAAAAAATGTGTTTACTGAGAAAGTCGTTGAATTCACAGCATACAAATACAGATAACTTTCGGTGCTCCGATGAAACACGCTCCTGCAATCCGCGAGGGATAAAAAGTTCTCCCAGTTTCTTTCATAGAGAGAAGCCCCTGTTTCTGTTATGGTTCTCAACATATGACATCGTTCCTCTGGAAAAATTTTTGGTTTTTGATCAGAGATGGTTTCCGAGTTTTGAAGATTTCAAGCTCTTCATAGTATCTCAGTGGCTTTTAAATCATCCCATATTTTAGTCTCTTCTCAGAAAGCGAAACAAAAATTTGTGTTTTGATCGATTTTATAGAGCATGTTGGATTATTTCATTCCGCGGTGTCGAATAACATAAACATAATTCGGTAATATTCTTGGAGAAAGGACGAGCCTTATAAACATACTCTTAACTCGTGTTCTGACGTTCTTCTTCAGGGCCCTCTTCTCGTTCCTAACGCTTAAGAACAGCATAATTCGTTGAGTTTCACATCATTGATTGCTAACTCGACTCAAAAATGTTGACTGATCGTTTAGATAGAAGGAACAAAATGCTTATGAGCACCAGTTTAATGACTTCCGATTTCTAGCGACAACTTGTAACCGACTCAGTATATTATCAATCGCTTTAAACCATTATAGCTCGAAAAATAATCCATTGACTCTTCAACGAATCCCTAAGTCAGTCGATTTTGGAGTCAAAAAATAAGAAGTTGAATGTCATAATTATGTCTAAGTTCGTAATTTATGGAAATTGACCAAAATTTCTTCCATGATCCCCGTTTTGACGAGCGCCAATCATCATGTGATTAAATGTTTTAGGTGATACGGGAGAGGGACCATAAGTGGCCACTCTGATTTGCTGTTTAGAACGAAAACCTTAATAGACTGATAAAATGTCTCACCATTTTCAGCCAAGAATGACAATGAACTCAGTGAAGACCTACCTGTGTTGATGATAAAGACCACAATCAACCATAGTCCAACTAGAATTTCAAAGAACGTCCTCGCACTCATCCTGTAACAAATGGAACAAGTATTCTGAGACGCCTGTACACAACTGTTTCAGCACCAGTCGCATAACAACCGTTAAATGAAGACACGATTATTAGTGGACATTACATCACTTTTCAGAAGATGAAACCTTCAAGTTGTATTTCATTTTCTAGAGGATATTTCAGCTAAGTTAATTATAGCAGCATATGCAGCCAGACCCAGTCTCTATGTTGTATTATCACTGGTGAAAAAAAGACAAGAATAAAGACCCTTGCGACCGAGGCGTCTATGGTCTCCAAAGCAACAGTTGTGGAATGTCACGCGATAGTTGAGTCATAATCCTCTCAAAATAAGCTAATTTTGTGGGAGAGTATGGCGTCACAACCCAAAAACGGCTGCGTAGGAGCGTGTGCTCGAGCATTTCCGCCCCTTACTAACAGTGAATATTGTAACTTCCTTGGGGTTACAGTTTAACCACCTTACATTCGATACCAGACTCAGTTAACACTTCTTTGCACAGAAGCGAGTCAAGAATTTACTCGATCGGGTCAGGATCTCGATCAAAGTGAATATCGTCTCCGGAGGCTGGAAAATGAGTACAACTTTAAAATTCATCCCAATGAATGAGTGAAAATTTTCTCAAGTTTTTTTTATGAGTTCCCATATTTTCCTAATCTCTGATGGGCCACTGTGATTATCGTACGTGGTTTTGGTTTGACGTCACTCGTTAGAAATGCGCTCTAACTAATGGTTCCGTACAAAAGATCTATTAACGACATTAGCATATTTGATTATGAAAGCGATCTTCGCAATAATGAACACTACTTAAGCAGTAGTGAAAATAAGGCCTGAAAAAAATTTAGGCCTGTACGGGATTTGAACCCATGACCTCTGATTAGCATATTTATCAGCCCAAGAGTAGCGCCTCGACAAAATTGAATGGCCTGTAAATTACAATTCGTCGTCCACGAAAAACATCACATTGTATTTCTGAGAATATGTTTGAAGTTTTTTTAACCGTGCTCAAGGGGCCTGGTTAACGGGGGGTTGAAGATCGACATCTCAACATTGGCTCCCTAACATTGTAAAGGGATGTAGTTTTTCTTACTGTAGCACTGAGGACTGTTTGGAAATAGGTCTACAATCCCCTTAATATTTTCGGACAAATATTGACTCAGTACAGGTATATTCCTCTTTTCACATGGAGAATCTCCAGGGTCATTTATTCTACCGAAGGCCGTGTTTATTATCTCATGCAACAAGTTCCCTCGGTCATCCTTGTGCTCATAAGTACAGCAGGCTGCGGTCCTTAGGTATTTTGGAAAGTTCATAGGGAAACCATTCTCATCCTTATAATCACTGAAACCTTCTTCGCCGAACCATCGTGCCTCGGAGTCTCCACCTACTGTAGAGGGAACTGCACCAACCACGAAGTACATTTTCACATTCTGGGCACCGTTAAAGGCACAATTGTTTTTCCCCACACTACAAGTTTGGTTTCACACTCTTGCCATGGACCAGAATTGAAACGTCCAAACTGAGGAACAACGTTTGTGTAGGTAAATGTTGCTAGCATCCTCTCCTTGTTACCTCTGCCGTAGTTTGATGCAACCAAGTGCCCTTTGTGAATTTCTGATTCTAACAGTGCGGGGTTGCAAACCTTGACATCGATGGCCTTCTTTGCCACAGAATTGCGAACCTTAGCCCATTTCTTATCAACAACAAGAGCTTTCTTGCCATTCGTTTTAACACAAAGTTTTCGATGAAGCGATAACTTGTAGTCCTTTTTTCTCTGTTGATCTTTTCTCAGTATTGCCTTGCTCTCTCGGAAATACTTAGTAGGCCGGCCGCCGGAGCTTCCGACCAATAGCTGTTGCCCCGTCATGCTAGTAGCTGAGTACAGTGGAATTTCGCCGTTATGATCAAACAAGATTGTTACCACACCATCTTCACAAACATGAGCCAGGTTTATCATCGATTGAACTTTATAGCCGAAGTGCTCCACGCCTTTTGGCAGGTACTCTGCTCAGTTATTGTGCGGTTTTCCTTGTGAGTCACAAGCGTGGACAATATTGCACTCACAGCCAATCAATGAGCCGTCAATAGAGCTACATTCTATTATATTGCCAAAGATAATGAGGACGAACATTCCAAAAGAGAGCTTCTTTTCTATCGTCTTCCTGTAAAATTTGTCTCGTGCAAGACCTGATTACAAAAGAATAATCATAAGTATTCTTGTTTTTACCCAGCGTTTACACAGCTAAAACATGGCAGCACGGCAAACTATCGTGAGTATGTGACGATGTCTTGCACACCCTAACTAGTCGCCTGCAGTGCATACAGAAGACGAATTTCACTATACACCCCGCAAAGTTTCGAGCGTTAGCCCTCCTTTCTGACGAGGGGCCAATGCTCGAAAGGTCAGCTTTGAAACTCGCGCGAAATCTATATACAGCGCAGATCTACTTGCTTCGTCTATGGATATAGGCAACTCTAGTTCATAATAATAATTGAACTGAGTGGATTGAAATTTGGTCTGGAATCATACGCGTGATTTCAAAATCATAAATGTTATTTCAAATTAAAATCGCACGACGCGAAGTTCATTTCGCTCAATACAAGTTTTTTTAGTCTGTACAAATGTTTTATTGATCCAGTATATTGAGCTGGTTTGTAAGAAAATTTTTAATGTTGTTTCTCATTTTGATGCAATTTGATTGATTTCTTTATACAAGCCTTCAAATTTGATCGGTTGTTCTGTTTTGGTAAAGCTGTCTTATTGGCTAGGAAAAAGATTCGATTTAGAACATGGTGCGATTTGTGAATAAGAAAGATGAAACTCTTGAGCTGCCTTTTTTTCACTAGATATTTTCTCTTCCACGGAAATGATCGGAGGACAAATATCCACGTTAACGAGGGTTGTTGCGTGATAACTGTCCGGTGATTTTGTACCACGTGATGTAATATAAGTTCGCGCGAAAATTAATTGGTGGTATAAACAGATGATGGCTGTTGTGCCATAAGAAAGCGTAGAATGAATAAAAAGACAATAGTAACGCAAAATGCAATATCTTTTTACTCAAAATGAAACAATATTACAAAAAAATAAAGGAAAAAGTTCTTTTCACAGAAAACATAAACAGAACATATGTGTTTCGTTTGCTTGAAATGTCACCTCGTCTTAAATGTTGTCCTTAGATTTAAGATTACAAACTATTTGTCTTTACCACCAAACTAGCCTCTTTTACACTAATGAAATCAATTATTGAAAACGCTGTTTGGCGTAAACTCGCCAAACAGAGCAAAATGACTAAAAACGAAACCTTTTATCCATTACTTTGACATAATTCATGATAGTGTCGCGTAGATTACGCACAAAAACCACTTCAACAGATAGTATTTCAATAATATTGCTCATTTTTTCACCTTAATAAAAAGGCTACTTAAACCTGCAATGCTTATGCATACAATGTGCTGACGTAACATTTTTCAAATATTGTGTCAAACATAACCTGCTAAAAGAAGAGTAACTTCATTCTTTTTACTTTCCAAGTTTCGAAAGCAAACGTCCTGAAAAACAAACGAGGAACATCTGCTTTTCCAAGTTCCCAGAAAGTGGCCTCATCCTACACGATGTTGGGTATATAAGAAAAAAAACCGTAAAAGAATAAATAAGATGAAAATAGAACGGAAATTATTTAGACTTTCTCGCGAACAAATTATATGTCACCAAAAGTAAATACTGCAAGATTGCTATAAGAGACATGAAAACTTTAATTAAACTTTGAAATGAAATAATGAAAAAGTGCAGTTGAACTTGACGAAAATCATCAGTCAGATTCAAAACGAACTCGAGTATTTGTCCAAAGTAGAAACTTTTTTAAAATGGCACGTGTTTGTAGTTCTCCAAAGGTGAAATATTCTACCATAAGGAACAACGGAAGTCCAACATTTTGCAACTTGCATCGGCAAGACATTCGCGATATTGGTAAGGAAACAATATATCCTCGATGGAAAAGCAGCATTCCGAAACCGAAGTTAGTTCCTTTCGAGAAAACAGCAACACAACGAGAACTTCTGTCCGATCCATCGTTGGACGCTGAACAAATATTGCATCGAACACCAAGGCTTGTTCGAGGTTGGTATCTCGGAAAAGAGCCGCTCGAGTATCGCCGACAAACAACACCTTTCCGATTTAGTTTTAACACAAGGAACAGCAACGAGGCGACTAAGGAGGAAGACAATGAAATAAAACCTATTACTAAGAGGGCAACCCTCATATATCCTGAATGCATGACTGTGGCAATCTGCACTTTACAAACAAGACCAGTTAAACAAGAAAAAAAATTGCCTACGGGAACAGTTAGCATGCCATCTGCTGCATCGAAAGGAAAGAGCACAAAAGCCCCTACTATCCATGGATTAAACAAAAGTAAAACCCCTGCGAGTAGCGGATTAACCTCTAAGAAAGAAACGTTTGTACAGCTTGATGAAGATTGGAAATATTCTGGTCGGATCAGTAAACTGACAAGGAAAGTCTATCGACAAAATGAAAGACCACGCACCGCCGAATTCCAAGAGAAAAAGCAGATTAAGCGTAAAAATCTTCAAAAGTTAGTCACTGGGTTCCTGAGCGAAGGACATGAAAGTATTTTGGGGTGTGGCAGTGAAAGTGAACAAGAAAAAATATTCAATAATTACCTGAAGAAGATTCCAGATTGCTGCGTGGAGTGCTTCACATTTAAAGAAAGTGATTATGACATATGGTCACGCACGAGCTACGACTGAAGTCTTTTCAAGACAAACGGACTAGGTATTTGTGGTTTAGTAACTTTCATTGATCCACGATTATGTAAGAGCATTGAAATTGGTGCTGTAGCTGTTCCAAATTTTGCTAGGAGGGCTTTTTCAAAAACATTTCACTAATTTGGCCGTGTTTACAAGGATGATAAAGTGCGTGATTGTGTAGACATCGAAAGCTGCCTCAATAACTCTTCCACTCTTGAGTGTGCTTTTGAAATGAGTAATTCCTCTGTAAAATATCAATACATCACCGCAAAGATTGGTGATAAAATAAAAGAAGAGAAAAGTATCAGTCAATAGATATCATTTGATTTGCATGGGTGATCAGATCATTTCGTCGATACATGAATAAAGGAGGTAAGTATCGAAAGAAACTGTGGTGCTGTGTAGATGGGAGAGTTGACCACCGTAAAGAGTTTAAAAGCTGACGTTCGAGCGTTAGCCCTTCATCGATCGCTCCGACGAAGGGCTAACGTTTGAAACGTCACGAAACGTAATTTAGTATTATCAACTCAGTTGATGTTACTAAATAACATTTCGATTACAGTCTGGAATAAAATGGGACGAGTAAAGTTTTTAACGAAGAGTTTGCTGGCTTGGAGGACATCTCAGATGGAAAAAACATAAACCAGAACAAAGTGAAGGTGACGGATTGAGAAGGTAGCGAATAAAGGAAAAAATCAGCTTCATGTTGTAGGTTCAACAAGAGTAATAATCATCTTGATCCAAATGATTTCGTACATGGAAATGTTAAAACTGTACTACTATTTGATTTGCTTCCTTGCATGTTTATCCAGCGAAATGTATCCATCATTCTCCCTTATTTATAACAGTAATGGTGATCAGAATCGGCTTTCTCACTACATTGCAAACAAATACCGTTGGCGAGAAAGGCAAATTAAAGGAATTTAAGAAATTATCGACCGGTTACCATCCTTTAAGGCTAGTTTCTTCGCGTCGTACACCAAATTTTCATTTTTCCAGGATAACCGGCGCTTTTTTGAGTAAGAGAATGCCAAACTGTAGGCTAGAATTGCATAACGGCCATAGCAGGCTGACCTGAATGCAACTAAGTTCAATGTTTTAATTATGTTTATCAAGATATAACCGTTATGTTGTCAGAGCAATATTAAAGCTTTTGATGTAAAAGACTGATCGCAGGATACGAATTTTCAAAGTAGCGAATGGAGGAGGAACAGGGGGGGAAGGGCATTCTAGAAACTAAATAAAGGGGCATTCCTCTTAAATATAGGGCATCTCTGGGGCCCAATCCTTGTCATATTGAACCGGCATTTTTTAAAGAAGTGCTTGATTTGTTTAAGAACCCTGCGCCAATTAGACTAAACTTTTAAACCAGCCGCGAATCGGTTATCCGCGTTGGGCTTTAGTTGAATACAAAGTGTTAACATCTAACTCTAGTTGGTTCCATCAGAGTCTTATGATGTTGGTGTTTTTCTCACTGGTTGAGGTGATTTGTTTGGTTCTGATTTTCTCTCAACGTCTCCTCAATCGAACAGTGTTCCAATTTGAATTTGAAAATTACAATACCCTCATCGAAATCGTGCTTGTGGATTTGCCCGCAATTTATAGCTAATGATCCATAATTAGACGGAGACCAGGCGAGTTTCCAATAAAG